GAGAAACTGACTATACTCAGTTTTTCCTCTTTCTCATGGATGTTTTTCCCCCCCAACTTCTGAATTGGTCCATAATTCATATTATTTAACAGAGTAAAAAGCAGTACAAGAGCCAGAAGTTTACATTCATTCTTCCATTTAAGACTGCAAAAAGGTAGTGATACAAGTTATGCTGCCTCCTACAGCCAAGTGTTAATGTGCTTCAGTCACAATGCCCATGAGTCGTAGTTCTTAAAGATTTAATATAGGATTAATGCCTTCTCTAGCTTTCTTTCTCCAGCTGGAAAAAACACCACCAATTGTTCTCCATAATGTATGGCACAGTTGGGGGACCCTGAGTATACATGTGCAAGATTGAAACCAAACGTTTAATTTTCAGTGAAATGTGTAAATCAACATGCAATTGAGGTTTTGGCACACGAATGCTAGGCCTTCAACAGACTGAAGTTAGTTCCTTTGTTCAAAAATCATCTGCCTGACAGTGGTGGGGCAAGGAATGGCGCAAAGTGGCATGAGAGCAAGCTGACAAAATTCTTCTTTCTCATCCCTACATCTGTCACCTAAGATGTGATGGTTGTTTTTTCAGGGGAATGCTGATCTGAAAGGTGCAATCTGAGTTATCAGTCTAATAGAACAGGATTGAGCTTGCAGGCAACTGACAGAACTCTCTCCTGCATCTTACTGTCCTGTGGATTGTTAATCATGTGGCAACCAATTTAAACAGAAAGCAGGATGCTCCCGGAGTGTAACATATTGAAAAATATCTAGAAAAAGTAATAGAACCCTCAACTATTATTTTCACTTTATAATCAAATTATTTCCTGGGTTCCTAAGGCAAGAACCTTTTCAGTCTTTCACAGCTTTCACAGTTGGTTAAGAGGTTAACTGATAAGTGAAGAATGTCCAGGTGGTCAGCATGCTAATCTCTCTGAACATAATTACAAGGAATATATTTTTAATTTTTGACAGAGGAATGCCAAGTCATCCTAGACTGACGTTCTTATATACTAAACTATCTTGACAGGGTGCCTGTGTATGTGCGTGTGCATGTGTGCGTTATATTTTAAAGCAACTGAAAATTTCTAATGCACTTATTTGCTACCCAAGCAGCAATAAAATGCTGCAGAAAGTTACTCACTCTCAAGCTAAATTAACTAAACTGCCAGTAACCTTCTCAGGTTTTTTCTTTTATGGGACTGTTAAACAGATATTTTCTTCTTTGAAAAGATTGCATTGCCTAACTAGCGCTTTCTAGTGAAAGCCAAACATGGAGTTGCTTGCAGCCAAAGCCAAAATAGCCGGAGCGCAGTTCCTGCAATTGGAGAAGACAGGGAATGATCACAGAAGCCCCAAGTGGTCAACAGGAAGTTGGGAGAAGATGAGAAAGACTTTAACAGTGGAGCAACTAGAGAAAACTTTTGGTTGCCTCTAAGAGGACTGGAGATGAGATAGAAATGGCATTATGAAGTCATGCCTGTTAAAAAGAAAGTTATCTATTTGGTTAACAACTATGAAGAGTCACAAGAGTGTGAACCAATGGGGAGATCAGCTGTATTTAAAATTATGGCTCTACCAAAACGAATATACTTATTTTAAAACATTCTTGTGCAAATTCTTGGTAATATAAATTCTTGGTAAAAATTAAAGAAATGTTCTTTTCAGACCTCAGAATCTTGTACTAAGTTATTTAATATGCCCTCAGATTCTGACATTTAATTAGTACAGTATTGACTTCCGGTTCCGGTTCGCGGCGTCCCTAATCGCACGGGGAGACTCGTCTCGTCGGCTAGCCTTCCCTCCGCTGGTAGACCCTTATGCGAGTCAAAAGTCACCCTGGAGGGTGCGACTTCTGTCGAGGAGGCTCTGCTCGGCTTCTGAGGAGCAGCGGCTCCTTCAGTGTCCGAGCTATTTCTGAGGGCCGATGGAGAAGATCGGTCAGTAAATGGCCGATCACCCTGCTGCTTCAAACCGCAAGTCAAAGAACATCTAAGCTGTAAGAACCCCCGTGGTGAATCCAGGTGAGATTTTTCTTTGCTATTCTATTTTATTTTGTTTTTGGTACCTGAAAAGAGCCTTGTTGGAATTATTTTCCTGGCTTGAAAAGGCAGCTTCTACATTCTTTGGGAAGAAAGGCATTCTATAAAAATAGAACAAAATTTTAAAGACTATATTTTATTTCTATATTTTTTGAGGTACAAGAAAAAAAATTTCCTCTCTTTCTAAGAACTGTACTATCATCCTGTGCTGGAAGATTATTTCTTTTTCACATTATACTTTAAAAGATAAAAAAAAAAAGGAAATGGTGTCTGGAAAAGACGTTTTTTAATTTACTGAGGATATCTAGTGGCGAAAATTTAATACTGCAACTTCAGGTTATTTGGTTTGAAGATGGAACCAAAATACCTGACCTTCAAAATACTTTTGAAGAAAAAAGATAAGCTGTGGGAACTGTGGGGGTGGATATTGCCTAAATTATATCAAATATAGCCTCCACAAAAAGAGACTCTTTTTAATCACTATCAAAATGGAGAAACCTCATTCGTAATTAAACTGTACACTTATATTGGAAAAGATCTATAAGGCTACTGCAGAAATATGTGCTACAATGAAAAAGTTTACTACAAAACTAAGATCCAGAAATTTCACTTCAAACGTTCAAATGGATGTCCAGGCTACATCTGACCATGGTATAAATCAAAACATACTAGAAGAGGAATCAGCAGAGATAAAAGAGGAACTTATTCTATCTTATAAATCTTCCATCTGCAACTTTGAGGAACAGAAGAAGCAAAGACTGAGATTTCAAACTACAAAGCAACGATGCTTCAAGGAGGAGAGAAATAGATGTCTAATGCCAAGGATGGGATTTCTATCCTTTCAAAGGCTACTGGAAGCAACAAAAATAGATCTACTGGCTGAAAGGGAAGCGTCTTTATGGAAACCTGCCTGGCACAGCAAAAAAACCAGGATTAGACAGAAAAGAGAAATTTAAAATTGTGTAATGGATTAAAAGGCAATATTGGATTTATGGATTGTTTTAAGGATTATGATTTAGAGTTAGAAGCAAGAAAAAACATTTATATATATATATATATATATATATATATATATATATATATATATATATATATATATATATATATATATATTTATTACCCATATATATATGGGTAAATTCATGTTAAATAATAAAATATACGAACACCAGGAAGTTATAAAACTATAAAAAGTTTTAATAGAATAAAACCAAGCTTTCGCTGGCTTCTGCCAGCATCATCAGGGTAGCGTCCAGTCGATGAGAGAAACTATTTATAAATGTGGTGCTCTTTGCGCCCGGCTTCTTGACCTCGTCATAGGTCCCAGCCAATCCACCTGCGTTTTGATCGTAGTTTCTGTATAGCAAGCTGTAATTTCCTCACTTTCCTTGCTTGTGCCAATACCACAGCTCTTCCTCCCTTCTTCGTATATCCCCCAACTTACAGTTAAACGAAGAAGGGAGGAAGAGCTGTGGTATCGGCACAAGCAAGGAAACCAGCGAAAGCTTGGTTTTATTCTATTAAAACTTTTTATAGTTTTATAACTTCCTGGTGTTCATATATTTTATTATTTCACACACACACACACACACACACACACACACACACACACACAAGGGTGGTTTTTGGAACAGATATTTCAAATAGATTAAGAATGTACTTTTTGGAATAATAGATTTTGATGAAAATTATGTATTAGAATTGAAAAAATGTTGATTTTTTAGATTGGGATGGTTTTAATAATTAATGGAGTATTTTAAATTAGTTAGATGATTTTTTGTACAATAACATAGATGTGATAAGGTATGATAATCAATTGGATGAAATTTGAAGTTTGTGTAATGAATTGAAATGAATTAAGGTTTAACATTATTTTTTTAACTAAGATATTGTGTAGTGGAAGAAGAAATAAATACGATTGGTGATAAAAGGAGGGATGAGAGAGATTAAGAATACATCTGGAAGGGATACCTGAATTGATAACGTTGATTTAAAGTTAAATTTGATTATGGTAATTGTAAACTGATAAAGTTTTAAAACAGGTTTAGTAGTAATAGAAATTTAATTTAGAAATGGAATATTTTAAGCGTATTATGTCATTTGAGGGAAATAGAGAGGGGACAGTGAATGTATTAAGTTGAGTTGTTTATTTATGTTTTTACTTTTGAATGTCTGATTACCCAAACACCACCGTGTGTCCTGAGTACTTTTTCTTAAAAATTAAAAAAACAATAAAATAGTATTTTACTTTATAAACTCAAACAGCACTGAATACATCATTTCTTAAATACAAGAAAATCCTATAAAACACTAGATATATAGGGAGATGTTTATAAAAAACCAGTCAGTTAATGCTTTATTCTTTTTAAAGGGAAGAAAATACTAACATAGATTTAGAAACCATAATTGCTCCATTACTCCCAGGATATCCAGATCAGGGTATTTGTAATGCGATATATGTACAAGCTACACAGGGTACCATTATGTGATATATGTACTCAAGGTACACAGAACACAGTGGTGAGAATTTACAAAGAAATTTCACATCAGATATCTCTAAACACTATTTTTAGTTATACTGGTTCCCAGTCTAAGAGTAAGTATATTCAGTTCATCTATTCTTGCATTCCTAGCAAAGAATCTATTCAATATTCCTTGAGAGGTGCTGTGAGAAACTTTTTCAGCTATCATTAGAAGCTACAAGATATAGATTTGTTTGTTCCCAGTTACCTATTTTCCACTATCCAGGGGCAATTCATTAGTCATCATATAGGGTGTGGCTCTTTTTTTTCACTGTTGTGAATTTGTTTTGGTTATTTTAGAAACAAATTATATCAATTTCTGCTGTAGAATTATTTAATTACACTTCTGAAAAATAAGCACGTCTGTTTTCTAGGTATCTTGCACATTACCAAATTAAGATATGCAAAAGAGTTTGCAATAACATATACCAGGCACACAATGTGTATGTACATTCCTCTTTATTTAATACAGCACAGACACATGACACATACAAAAGAAAAACACTCATGAAACTCCTGCCACATTTAAAGACAGGCACATCTACTCTCAGTTTGAACACTCAAACTGAGCACTTCTCATCAAATATCTGCTAGTTAACTATAGATGGATTCTCAGATAAAGCCTCCAGTCAAAATAATAATAATCCACACCCTGTTTGAAAAAGTGAAATTGAGACAGTAATTTCTGGATTATAGAAGCAGGCAAACCATTGAAGTAAAATCACTCTTCTAGAAAACTCAATCCATGAGTTTTTGGAGCAAATATATGCTATTCACCCTTTTAGTTTTCAGGCCCATGGTATAATAAAATGTACTAAGAGTAAAGGGTTTGTTTCCCAGTAAATTTAATTGTATTTTGAAACTGGAAAGGACCTGAATATACATTCAGAACTGGCATAGGCTTTTTGTGGCAGCAGTTTCCCCTTTTCTGTACTCCAGTTTTACATGGAAAGTAAGTAGGCACCAGGTCTTCTGATAAAGAGCCTAACATACTTTAAAACACATATTTATAAAAAGGAGAATGAAAGGGTTATTTACAAAATTCATGGCTGGTGCAATACATCTTTTAAGACACACTATGTTACAATCTTTCAGGTCCTGAGATTATTATGGAAAAAATAATAATTCAAACATCGTGTTTGGAATCATTGAAACAGGAGAAAAAGATCAATTCATTCTTTTAAATCTTTCAGGTTGGTAGAACACATTTCTGTAAAAAGTAAGTCAAAAAGCAGTTGGCACAAGTAACTAAATAATGTGTATAATTATACAAGCCCGCTTACTGAGAGCAGCTACATATTTGTTGCATGGAAAACATGTCATGAGGAAGACAAATACTCTTCCCAGATGGCTCAAACCTTCCACTAATTTTAGAAATACTCAGGTTCAAAGATAGAGCCAAGCTATACACAGAACAGAATAACTGCTTCAGATATGTTTACCAGCATGAATAATTTTAGCACCACTACTTGATAAAAATAGGTACCTTAAAGAAGTCCATAGAAAATCTATAACCATATTCCATAAGTATCAGTGGATCAATTCTGTCAATTAATAAGGAAGTCTCCTTGTTTTTTTATGGCTAACTAGATATTTTTTAAGGTTTTTTTTGCTGAATATTGAGAAAGTATTCAGAAATATTGTTTCCATCAGGAGAAAAATACTAAAATAGAATTTCTAGACTTTTTTAACTGCACTATTGTTAGAATCAATTTATGAAAAGCATGTTCTTTTCTAGAATGACAAGTTCAGCGTAATGCTTCAGATTTATAACCACATCAATATCCAACTGTAGAATTTATCTTACAGCTTAGAAAATCCTAACATTATGTTTTTAATTTTAAATTGTGATACCTAGGTACTGAATATGATTAAAACATGTTTGAGAGATGGATCCAATATGTAACACTGCTCAACAATTTAAATTAAAATTATTTTAAGTAAATGTTCTTGACTGAAAATACATGCAAAAAAGTGCACCAGCTTCCATAACATGATGTTTAAATCTCTGGATTCTTCAATCCGTTGCTGAAAGGTGCCAAAGAAGGAAGAAAAAAAATTTAGATCACTTCTCTGAAGAAGAATCCATATGGGTGGAGATCTAATTAACTAACTAGCCTCTTTGTACAGGTGAAATATTTACTTATTTACTTACAGATTTACTAATTTCAAATGGGAGATTGTTCTCTATTCCATATCTGCATGTTTGATTAAAAGGATAGCACCATCAGATTTTAAAAATTTCTTAGTCTCTCAGAACCCTATCATTGTATTAGTGAAAATGTTCCTGCTATTTAAATTTTACTTTTACAAAAATATTTTCATAATACACACATTCAAAAAGCTTTGTCATGTTTCTTTGGGTAGATATTAACAATAGCCAGGGGAAAATATCTGCCATACTAAACATAGAGTTTTGTAATAAGCAGTTGTACTAAGTACTAAAATCAAATGAAAGCATTACAGAGAAAGGCAGTGCTGAAAATAAAATGCTATTGTACTAAAGACCAACCATCTCTAAGGTCTGAGAGCCATACCTACAATCTTTACTTTAAATTAGTTGGCTTTTCCAACTATTCCAATGTGTGACGAGACAATCAAATATTTTCCCTTTTACCACACCAAATTAAAATGTATTGTAAAAGGCAAAATTTTGTAACAGAAATTGTACATTACTTATATTGTTTCAGGAGCACTGCAAAGATTAAAGATTATAATTGGGATACAAAGCTCCAGAAATGTGTTTGTTATGTAGAACAAAGATATTTCATTGTACCAAAATTGCCCCAGGTGAAAGTGATGAGAATCCTAGTTTTCCGACATGGCTGAAGAAAATATAATTCAATTAAAAGAACAATTGGTAATTATTTACATATGGTGATGGATTCAAATTTAGATAACTGCAAGAGGGCTGGCAGAAGAGTTGTTTGCAGAAGGTTCTTCTAGGTCATCAGGTATCCTTTCCTCAGTTCTCCATATTACAGTTTATCCTGACCTATATTATTTCCAATATCTGAAATGATTGTTATGGAGGCATTCACTTCTGCCAGTCATCTTCCAGATGCTTAAATCTAGATCAAATTCATATCTAAATGGATTATTCTAAGTGATTTCTTCAAGTGTCAACATAAGTTTCTCCAACTTCTAAAAATTGTTAAAAGGTATAAGAAAAAAAAAAACTCTAAGCAATAGTGTCCTGAGAAATGCATTCAGAAAATGATTCTTAAAAATTAGGAACAAATGGTTCAAAATTGTAAAAACTCAATTCTGGAAACCAAATATATAGTTTACAATAAATTTCAGCATGACAACTTATCCCTTTCTTCCTAGTAAGAATTTTCTTGCTATAAGGAAGTTTCTTTAGACTCTTGAAGGAAATTCAACCGCCTCTCTTATCTATCACTGCAATTAGAAACATGTTTACTAATTACATAAAATACTTTATATTCCTCAATCATACCAAATTGCTTTATCTGAACAAAAGATAATACTTTAACTTCTAGCAGTATTCAATATTATTTGAGTATTCAACCATCCATTCAGAATTGATCTGAAATAGAATGCAACTTATATTTGTTTCAAAGATCAGTAGAACCTTAGTAATAATATAGTTTTAAAAAGTTAAAAGTTTTACAAATATAATAATTTTTTAAAAATGTATGATTACTTATTTTGATTGGTAGGTTGCATTCTTACATTTGTCACAGTTCTTTGTAACAGATTTTGTAAAAAAAACAGTGAAATCTTGCTATGATTCTTTGCTTAAAAGTATACTGCTATTCTTTGATTTAGCCAATTTGTTAGAAAATTTTTGTTTTACAATATGTAAAGATATGAATCTGAGCAATGCAAAGAAACTCTCACTGTATTTGGTACATGGAAAACTAAAATTTTAATTTAGAAGACTGAATCACTATCACCATCAACAGGCAGCTTCCTAGGGTGAAGCAGTAGGCTTCTTAGGCAGCAGAGATAGGCCATATGAAAATATTTTTATTGAAGAAATATAAAATATTTCATTGTCTACTAGTCTGTAACCATTCAAATATAATTTATTTATAACATTTTTAATGTGAAGAAATATTCTGCTCTTTCTCTGTTACAGGGAAAAATGCCAAATTTTAGAATGGTCAGTTTAGTATTATAATTTCCAGACTGAAATTTTAAATTACAATCTGAAACTCCAGTGGAAATGGCTTAGTGTACTATAAACCACTTCATTACAGTTGCTCAAATACACTGTTTATAAATTGTGCCAAAGTTCACTTTCAGAAGTAAACATTAATACTACAAAAACAGATTCAACATAAGGAAAATAGTGCTGTGTGCAAAGAACAAGCACATAGAATGACAGTTATGCAACAGCAGTTATAACATTACATATACTGAACACTAATTACAGAAGGGTAAAAGTTATTTTAACAACATAAAGTCATTTGGGCAGGATCAAAGACTTTCCAAATATCTCCAAACACTTCTGAATATACTTTGTGGGGATAAGAGGGAACAAAAAGAAAAGGCACTTAACCAAAAGCCTGAATCAAGTAAATTGGAGAATTAACTCCATTCAGCGATAGAACTAAAGTATATATATAAAAAAACCTAAAGGTCATACAATTATAATTGCATAAACATTTTATGATATCTATTTATTATTTTAAACTTGGTGTTAACTTTTTGGAAAATAAAAAGTGTTCTGTGTCCTCCAACATAACAAGATACTTAGGTAAAAAAAACTTTCCAAAATTTATCATGATTTTTTTTCCTGCACTACTATTCTGAAAAGTTCAAAAATAAGAGTAATAATTATATCATTTGTCAACATTCCAAAAAACTAACATCCTAATTTTTTTCTGGGCAAACAGTTCTAAAAATCACTGTATAAACTAGATTTAAATGTTATTTATAAATATAATCAAAATATTTTAATGAATGTAGCAGCAAACATAGTAAATAACTGTGAGTCCTAACAAACTATCATCTGATTATGATTCAATGTAACTGATGGTAGCTTGAGATTTGTGAATTATTTTCATATCAACTGCTTTGGATCAAATGGAGAGGTTAAATGGAGGTTGGATTAGTCAGCTAAGAGTTTGAAGAAGTATACCATGATTATCTGCCCCATTCAGAACCTATTGAATAAATTAAACCCTAATTTCATGGAAACAGATGTCAAACCCACAGCACCCACACCTGAGATTTTGACTCAACATTCCCATCTGTCTTGCTGGAGACAAGACAATGTAAAAGGCTGAAAAAGGAATGATTTTAAGCCATCAAATATTACCTTGGGATGGAAGTATGCATTGTTAAGACATTTCTTTGTTCATGTTCTCCATACTTCATAAAGATCCAAGATAACCTAAGGAATTGCTAACTGTTCCCATTGGGACAAGAAACACATAATTTAAATGATTCTGAAATTCAAAACCTGTATGTCAAAATTATTGCTTATATTTGAGGCTCAGTGTAAGATCACTATTTTAGCCCTAAGTCTCAAATAATTTAAATTCAGAAATGAAAGCTTTACCTTTTATTGCTTGTGAATACTGAACAGATTTAACATAAAAGTTATTTAACTCTCCAAATACGTTTTAAGACAAACTAGGCTGTTGAAAATATCTAAATTAAAAATCGCTGTGCAGGAAGTATACCTCACTTGCATGGTAATGGTGCTGATATTCTATTTGCTCTTTTCAGTTCTGATTATCTTCTTCATGTCCTTATATCCATTGTAGAGAAGCTCATGAAGTTATCATTTAGATTTATTCTAATCACAAAGATCTTGTTTTATTGAGTACATCAATAGCAATTGTCTTCTATCACTTCTTTCATGGCATTATGTCTCCAAATACTCCAGTTTACTATTAAGCTGAAAAGAGCTGACCTCTCTTCATATATTTAGCAAAACAAAGAGGCCCCAATTGCCATGTAATAAGAATCATAAATTCAAATCAATTAATGTGCTTTCATTAAATTCTACATTAGAAATATTGAAGAGCAACAAGAAAGCCATTTGTGTCATTTGGTTTTATGAGAACATTTTCACTCTCTTTTAACATAAACATAAACCGTTTTCTGCCACCAAATGTTTTACTTTAAATTTATGGAAAAACATAATCAGAAACTTGATGCCTAACTAATTCTATTCTGTACTGTGTATTATTTTTAAAAGGGAAAAAATGTGTGGAAACAAAAGGTAAATTCCTATTTAAAAATGGTTTAACCTTTCACACTTTCTATCATTGTATATCAAGGAAAACTAAATTTAAAGGTTAATAACTACTTAATATTCAGTTTTCATAATGTAATATGGAATGTCAGGGTCTCAGTATGCCTTTTTAAAGAGATTTTTATTTTTATGTCTTTTAAAACCATTGTTCCAAATATAATTTTTTTATCTTAACTGTTTTCTTCCAAATGTATTTTTTATTTATATGTATGTGTATGTGTGTACATGCATAAATACACAGATTTGGAGTTGCCAAAAGGAAACAACTTATATAACAGTAAGTCTTTAGTAAGAACTGTATATTTGGCTATTTGTAGGATATGCTCATGGAGAATATTTTCCTTACCTTGAAATGAAGGTAAATCAAGAGAATAAAATTAACCAATTAATATTGAAGGGAGAAGAAACAAATGCTTTGGAGATGTAAAAAACATTTTGAACTAAATACTTTGTAGTTTCTTCTACCAAACTATCAAACAGTTATGCTTTTTAAAAGCCCTTTGTTTACCTTCTATTCAAGATTGATTTGACTCTATTTTTAATCCATATTTTGTGCAAGTTTTTTAAAAAATAGGGTCAACCCAACGTTCAGTTTCTATGTTTATATTATATATTATTTAAATATACACGTTTTACAAATATGATAAGTAATAATCTCAATCAGTAAGATTAGCTACCTGGCTTTGTAAGATGAAATAACATATCTTTGTAAACTTGATAACTAAATACATATCTGTCACAAAACAGCAGAAGAGTTATCTTGGCCACCATACAGTAAAACTATATGCACATAAGAAGTAAAATTCTATAGGAAGCCATAGATACTATATTATTGAGTTTCAAACTGTAGCAATTAATGCTACTCAATAGATACAGCTAGTTGTCTTTTTAAAATATGGTTTCCCTTTAGAGCAGCGCAAGAGATTGCGGTTGGAATCAAAGAAGCCTCCAGCTAAACATGCTGGCATATGTACATATTTTTGCTGGATGATGACCATATCGCCAGGAATGTTTAAAAACCAACTCTTACTAAAAAATAAAATATCAGATTTAAATTAAAGAAAAGGCTTTAGTTTGGGGATTAAACTATGATTTCTAGACTTGACCACCATTGAAACTTTTACAACATAATGTGCCAATGTTTTGACTTTTTCTCCCAGAATTACATCCTGAAATACATTTCTTCTGCATTAATTAATGAGTGCAATACAAAGCAGTTCCTACATTTCTTTCCTAGACTCTAACATATTGGTTTCAAAATCAAAGCCAGCCTACAAGTTGTATGTTCAAGCAACAACAAATCAAGTAACTCCCAGCTTAGCAGATTTAAAGAATACTGGGAATAAGAATGTTAAAGCCTAAACAGAAGGCACCTCAACTATACTCTTTGGAGAGAGCTTTGAACAGTTCTGATAAAAGGTCTTACTTAAAAGCTGTAAGAAATCAGTACAGCACATATCTTCTCAAAGCCAATAGAAGAGGAAGAAGAATCCGGAACTATCTTCACAAAGGAGAGAAATGGAATATTTCTACATTCTATTAATATATGGAAAATAAGGCAACTCTGAAATGGTTCAGCAAATCTAAAAGTGATAAAATAAACCTTCTGCTAAAGATACTGAAAATAAAGGTATGCTCTGATAAAGCCAATTCATGCTAATCTTATATCTGCATTTTTGATACTAAAAGGAAGATTTTAAGTTCCACTGAAATGTGTGTGGTTACAAAACACCCTCCATTTTTTAAATCTTTATCTGAAATACAAAATTCTCTGTCCTAATCAGTTACAGTATCTAGGGAAAATATTACTCAAAATAAATTATGTATAATCTTCAGGCTCTTCAAAGAGCAAACAAGCAGCCTTGATTTTGGGTACAGAAAATGCGAACTTCCTTTATGCTGATATAAACACTTTTTCTCCTCTATACTTCACCTTATTCAAACTCGCAGAGAATGTTTCTAACTGCTATAGCTTGTAGACTTCCCTGGGGTCTCCACATGGCTGAACCGAATGGTTGGCCTTACTTGCATGGTGAATACAGATGTCTATTTTAGTTTCCTTTGACAGTTCTTTACCAGACATCAGCCTGCAAAAAGGCTTGAGTTGCTGTAGGTTTGACAACTGAACCTGTTTGGCCAACCCTTTCTGAGACAATTGGGATAAAAAGCTTTGAGAACAGTCCTGAAAACAAAATCAAACTATGAGTTTTTTATAAGAACACTTTCCTCCTTTTTCTTCTCTCTTTGATCAAGTATTTTTTTTTTTTTTTGTCCTCACCACAGTGCTTAGGATCAGAATATGTAAACATTGACAGAAACAGCAGCTCTGTGTCCATGTAAGCATTTTCCCAACTGGTCATTCTCCATCAGCAAAGTAGAACCACATTTACTCCCTTAGCAGGACATCACTGGGTTTTCCTCTGTAACTTAGCATCCACTTTGCTTTGGCCATCTAGAATTGAGGATGAAAAAGAGAAAGCAATTCATAAAAAAGAAATGATAATTTATTAAATTTCTCTACCAAGCAATCATGCGACTTTTGGTGGTACACAAAATATAGAAAATAAACATCCTTGGTTAAAAAAAGCCTATATAAACAAGCAAACACACAGATAGCCACAATCAATCAACAGTCAAGCTATATTGAAGAAACATTTAAAAGATCCCATGATAGTATCATCTTAATACTTAAGTTAATTCACTTTTGAAAGCTTAATAATACCAAAGTAAATCTAACTTTCATGGGAAGCCTATTTCATAAAGTGGAGGTCATGAAAAAGAAACAACTTCTCCCAGCTTTATTCCCCCCAACTTCATAAAAATAAAGAATTGCAAGCAATTTTTCCCAGAGTGTACATGTTATCTATCTGAAGGAAATGTTTCTTAAGGTAACTTGGTGTCAAGCCAAGTTAAGCTTTATAGATTAAAAAGGTACCTTAAATTGTACCTAGAAACTTACAGGAAATTAAAATAGGTCCACAGCACAGGTTTCTGGCTTCTATTGCCAGTTAACAGGCAGATTGCTGCCTTTTTCATTTTTAGAGGCAGTCTCATATAAAGTACCTGTCTGTTCTATAGGGTAGATCAGGCTCAAAAATTAATATCAAGCAGATATTACTCTTACTGTAACAGCTATAGTAAAAAAAAATCTTGCAAATCTGATCTGTTTCCTCCTCCCCTCTATCTCTATGAGAACTAGGGAGGGGGGATTTTTTTTTTCTCACCTTACTTTCTTCACCTGAGCTCAAGATATTTTTATCCGATCATTGCCTTCCTAACATTCCTGATCTTTGAGGCCTTTCCCACTTCCCACTAACAGTTCTTTGCAGTAGTTTAACCAAGTATTGATGACATCATGAGTTACCATTGTGAAACTCTTCCAAGCAATTGATACACTGTAGTCCCCATTTCTCACCCATGAGTCCAAGAGAACCGAGTCACAGATCTGCTGTTTCTCAAAGCCAGTGTTATATTTCCAAGAAACAGCCATGTGGGTGAAAGCCTTGAAAAAATAGCAACTACCGGTATGTCTTGGTTGAGTTCAAACACTTAGAAAAGACTTCAACCAGACAGTATTGCTAACACAGCCCAGGAAAGTGATGTATGATTGGGAATAATCAAAGTATTGATGACATCACACCCCAAATTGATGAACTCCCAATGCCTTCAAGTAAGTATTAAAGAACACAGAGAAGTGGACCCTGGAGCACGTAAGAGGCTATCAGACCAGTCTCTTTTCCCCCACAACTGGTTTGCTCAGGAAGGAATGGAACAACATAAAATCCTCCAATCTCCAAAGGCAGTCTATCAGGATACCATGGTTAATGGTACTGAAGCCTATCAATGCATAATAGGATCAGAAGAAGTACACATTTTCCATCTAGGGCCCAACAAAGGTAATTAATCAGTGCAGTTAACACTGTTTTCATTCCATGTCCAAATTGGAAACATGACTAAAGGGATCCAGATAGTCTGTTTCCTTTAAAGCATTCTAAAGCAACCATTTCTTCACTGGAAGTCTGACAACTGTGCCTGAGAACAAGGAGCTGACAAGTAGATTGAGTCTTTTGATCCTCTTTGGAGAAAGAGAGGATGCAAGATTGCCCACGCTGTGTTCCATATGGCTGCTCCTCGCAAGGAGACGCCAAGGTAACAGTTTCTGAAGGAGGGGAGAAATGAGAAATTAGTGTGTGTTACTTTTGGCCCAGCTGCAATAGAAAGCCTTCAATAGACACAAAGTTCACACTTCCAAGTCACATTTGGAAATTGTCTATTAACTGCTTTAATTGTTTTTTTTTTTTTTTTTCCTTTTACTCAATTGTGTCTAATTCTCAATGACTGCCTGGACAAGTCTGAGAAAATTTTTCAGAAGTTGTTTGCCAATGCCTCTTTCCTATGACTGAGAGATATGACTGATCCAAGATCACCCAGCTGGCTTTGTACCTCAGGTGGGACTAAAACTCACGGTCTTCAGGTTACTAGCCTGATTTCTTAACCACTAGATCAAACTGACTCTTTTTAAAAAGTTAAGGCACTTACAAAATGGCAAGGCTAGAAACATTTACTGAGTGCCTTAAATCTTTAATATAAGAAATTAAATTTTATCTTTATAAAATTTATTTTATTTATTTAAGAATTCAAAATAAAATCTCAAAAAACAAGACAAATTTTGACTGTAGAAAGTTTTAAACAGACTATGAACACAGAAAAAGTTGGAATATTTGCTTTTGAATACGAAGACTTTGAAATAAAAATTTAAGAATAAATGCATTTTCATGGGAAAGAAAAATTATTTTCTATATTGGAGACATAACAAGATAAGCAACTTACAATGGCATTCAGAGATATTGTTGAGGACAGGCAATGGGACTAGGAATCAACAATGTCAGCTATGTTGTATGTTTTTATGAACACCCTGTTCCCAGAAGAAGCTGCTATATCAGAAGATGACAAATTATGGAGAACAATATGAATAAGAATTTGTCATTGGATATACAAAAAAAAAATCAAATGAGGTTCTAAAAATTAAGAAAGAAATAAAAATGCAACTTCGAAACAGGAATTGGAGTAATTGTCAGGTCCCCAAAGAAATGTATTTTAACCCTATGCCTATTTTCTACCTTTCGGTAACCTTTCTTTGTGGCCTGCCATTCTGTTGGGAGGGGGGAGCTTTTGGGATTGCTTTGCACTGTCTGCAGGATGGAACGTCTCTCCCTTATCTAAGAGACGGTTTGCGCTTGAAGCTAGAAGAAATAGAAAGTGAGAAAGACATTTGAGGAGCCTGCTGAAAAGACCAGCTACCAAAACACCATGCCACCTGTGGATTGGCTGAGATTCAAATGAACACTGAGACTCTTGGGGGGGAAGGAGTATTGAATATTGCTTTTAATATACTGCTTCGCAGGTTTTTCTCTCAGATCTCGCCTTGATTCTCTGCTGTCACTAGCCCTAATAAAAGTTCCTTTTGAGACAATGCCTGTTTCAAGAATTCTGCTTTCTTGGGTGGCTTATAATAATTTCTCCCCACTGGATTATAAAAAAGGCTTGTTAAAGTTTTGAAGAAATTTGAGACAGGGATAATGATTATTTGAATGGATTAAAGAACAAGATTGATTTATGTAAAATATAAAGCTGGCTTATTTTATCGGGGTTAAAATGGGTAAGGTTATTTTGGGATTTCTTCCTGAGCTTGCTGACATCTGGGTTGGAAAATATGTTATCTGGAATGCTTACAGTTAAGTTATTTATAAAAATAATAAAGATGGGATAAAAATAAATAAATAGGCATGGAATGATGTTTTATATTTGTTAATATTATTTTAGGGCTGTGTTTGGAAACTGTTGACAACAGGATTGGAAAAGACATTGCTTTTTGGAGGCCTATGATTAAGAATTGTGGGATGAAGAGATTTTATATGTTAATTAAGAGGAGGTGCAGTGATATTGAAATTGTTTATACTTGCTTGATTCTTTTTCTATTTGTCTTTTCTTTTTTGCCTACTTGGCATGGTCATAACAACCTCCCTTAGTGAATTTAAAATTAGTGTAGACAAAAATCAAAGTATTCAACACTTACAAAAAGACTTGTTCATATTAGACCATTATATAGGCTTTTTAAAAAAATTGACTAGCCATTGTCACTGAATACTATGGCTTGGGGCTTACTTTGAGTGAGTTAGACCACTATGATTTGTTTTACAAATCATGGTAACAATAAACCAGGATTTAGTGCAATATATGACCCCACCCATAAAATAAGCCACTTTAGTTATAAATCACCGTAACACCTGACTGCACAAGCAGTAACATTAAATTCAATAGTATTGAACTTTGATTCTTTTTAATAATGTTTCAACAGGATGTTTTTTCTTGGAATTGATGAGGCAATTACCAAAGGCTATACCATATTTCATATTCTCTCCCAGTCATGACAAAAGGATGAGACATACCTGAGTGGGAAAAAAATGTAAGGCTTAACCCAGGTGGAGAATTATGCCTGGAACAAAATTGCTGAATAGTACTTTTTCCCATGCTTTTGGCAGATCTCAGGGAAAACATGTTAGAATTGGAAGGGTTTATTTATTGAACCCTTTACTGTAATTGAATCCAATCTCTTATTCAAGTCAAATTAGACTTGCAAATTAGAGCATCTCTAAGAGATTCACATTCAGTGAAAGGAATCCTGACACTCCTGAGAAAGTTGTTGCACTCTCAAAACTGATCTTAGAAATTTTTATCACTGTAGAAAGTGTACTGTGAGACAGCTGGCTTCTCTTTAGAAAAGCGAGAAAATATATTTTCTTACCTGGATAAGCTTGCTGCAAATGAGCAGGCAGAGGTGTATGAGACAGTGCTGCTGAATGCTGAGCTCCTGACTGTAAACCCTTCAATAAATCTGACATGACACACAACAGGAAAAAAAAAACAGATATAACCACAAAATTAACAGCTAATGGTCATAGTTTTCTGACCATCTCTGTAGACAGTAAGTTTAGTTATTTAACGGTGTAGTAATGAAGTTTTAGGATTTACAAATTCAAGTGGATGAGTTTAAGCCAATTACAATGTTGCCAATCCAAAATGACAAGATTGGTCATTGATGATGTCAACTGAATTGAACAGAAATACAAGTTCTTCACAGTCAAAATATAAAATGTGAAAAGTATGAAAACCTTGAAATTGTCAAAATGGAAATAAAGCTTACAATACTGGATGCAGCATCACTATGATCATGAAATTAAAATTTGAATGCTTGGCAACTGGCAGGTATTTATGATGGTTACAGTGTCCTGGGGTCATGTGGTATTTTTTGTGACCTTCTGACAAGCAAAATCAATGGGGAAACCAGATTCACTTAACAATTGTGTTACTAACTTAATAACTGCAGTGATTAAGTGTGGCAAGAACCAACCGTGGCAAGAAAGGTTGTAAAATGTGGCAAAATTCATTTAACAACTGTCTGGCTTAGTTATAGAAATTTTGAGCTCAATTGTAAATTGAGGACTACCTATGAAAGAAAGGTTTAGCAACAATACTAAAAAAAGGACATTGTTAAGCATATGGTTAAGGATTAGATCTATCAGAACTATAGATATCTAATAAATATATTAAATGTTATGCGTGCATTTACATTAACTAAAATGCTATGAAAGAAGAAAATGAAGAAAACAGATAAATTTAAAAACTCCAACAGAGGGTACTATATCTAGAAAAGACATAGTGCTATTAATAGAAACTGAAATGCAAAAGTTGGAGAAATGGTGAAAGCTGGAATCACATATTTTTAAATGGGCAATATAATAATATTAATTGCTACCATGTTTCCCCGAAAGTAAGACACTGTCTTACTTTCTTTTGGGCTCTGAAGTAAGCACAGTGTTTTACTTTTGGGGAGGGCTTACTTTTTGCTGGTGCCGGCACCAGTAGGCCGTGAGCGTGCAGGGGTGGGGCAGGGACTGTGCATGGGGTGGAGAAACAACACGGCGGCGAGAGCATGATGGTGGACCAGTTGCTTCCCTCCCTCTGCCAGACCTGCCGAAACCACACAGGGTAAGGTTGCCACGCCCGCCCCTGCCCATATGCCTTCGCCTCCCCCAAGCGTTTTTTTTACTAAACTGCCTTTCAGCTGCATTCCATTTCTCCATTCGCTTCTCAGACTTCACCGAGTGTTTGTGAGACCAAAAAAAAAAAAAAAAAAATCAATCAATCAGACTTTCTAACTTCTCACAAGATCTCAAGAAGTTAGAAAATCTGATTGAACTTTTTTTTTTTACCGGTAGTCTCACAAGCATGTGGCAAAGGCTGAGAAGCGAAGAGAGAAATGGAATGCAGCTGAAACGCAAGTTAGTAAAAAACTCTTGGGGGAGGTGAGGGCATCTGGACGGTGCCGGCAACCTTACCCTGAATGGTGGCGGAAGGGTGGAGTGCGTGCCCTTCCCATGCAAGGCCAGCCCCTGCAGCCCCGGGGTGGCTATGCTGGGCGGTGGTGGGCAGGGCGCTGAGGTGGGGGCCAGCAGGCCAACCAAAGAGGCAGGTGGAGCACCGGAGGCTCGGGGAGGGAGAGTGCTTAAGTGGGCAGTCAGGCCATTGGCAAGAGCAATGCAGCGCAGTGGAAAGCAGCCTCGCAACAAGTGGGGCAGGTAAGGAAACAAATCCTCGCTCACTCCAAGAATTGCCTTTCTTTCCTTACCTGACTCCCAGCCCCGTGCTGTTTCTCCTTCATGATTCGCCATCGCCGTGTGCAGGGAAATGAAGTTTTTTTGGGGAAAAAAAGGTCAATCAATCAATTCCAACTTCTCGTAAAAAAAAAATCTCACAAAGTTGGAATTGATTGATCTTCCCCCCCCCAAAAAAAACGTTGTTTCCCTGTATGTGGTGGTAGAGGATTGCAAAGGAGAAACAGCACGGGGCTAAGAGTCAGGTAAGGAAAGAAAGGCAATTTCTGGGGGGAGCAAGGATTTCTTTCCTTACCTGCCCCACTTGTTCCAAGGCCGCTTTCCGCTGAGCCACATTGCTCTTGCCAATGAACTGACCGCCCACTTTAGCACCGTCCCTCCCCGAGCCTCTGGCACTCCACCTGCTGCTCTGATGGCTCTGACAGAGAAGAGAATGGGCAGGTGAGGGGGTAACGTGCCCCACTTGTTCCACAGCTGCTTTCAACTGAGCTGCACTGCAGTGGCATTGGGCGCGATGCGCAAGGCAGCAAATGGCCGCAACTAGCGGCAAACAGCTGCATCGTGCCGAAACTGGCCATTTGCTGCCTCCTGCCCAATGCTGCTGCCATGAGGCTGTGGAACAAGTCAGGCGGCAGTAAGGAACCAGCATAACGGCACGTGGGTCTGAAGGAGGGAGGATCTGCCAGGCCTCATGGCAGCAACATTGGGTGAGATGCGTGAGGTAGCAAAGGCCATGACCGGCGGCAAACAGCCATGTTGTGCCGAAAACGGCCGTTTGCTGCCTCGTGCTCAATGCCGCTACCATGAGGCCACGGAACAAGCCGGGCAGCGGTAGGGAACCGGTATAATGGCACATGGCTCAGAAGGGGTGAGGATCCGCCAGACCTCATGGCAGTGGCATTGGGTGTGACGGGCGAGGTGGCAAATGGCCACAGCTGGCGACAAACGGCCATGTCATGATGAAAAAGGCCGTTTGCCACCTCCTGCCCAATGCTGCTGCCATAAGGCTGGGGAACAAGCTGGACGGCAGTAAGGAACCGAAATACCGGTACCTTGGGTCAGATCCCCCCTCCTCCATTGGCTTTGCCTCGTCACAGGCAGACTTTCCTTGCAGGGCTTACTTTTGGGGGAGGCCTTATATTATGCCTACCCCCTTAAAATCAGTTGGGACTTACTTTCGGGGACGGTTTACTTTAGGGGAAACACGGTACTCCCTACAATGTATGCCAACAATATACATTTGATAGCACCAAATAGAATATATACAGGAAGCAAAATAAGGAACAATAGCATAGTATCAGCAAGATGCAGACTGTAAAAAAAGATTATTTCAAATGTTAGCAAAGAAGAATCTGTTTAAAAAGGAATGAAAAACTGGAATCAATTTAATGCAATTTTGACATGTAGCTTTAGGAAAGGTAACCTATCTCAAAATAACCCTTCCACTTTCTATTGCCAATCCATACATTAATTGCTATTTGCAAAAGTTTAAATTACTGGTCCTAACTCATCACACCTTGCACATGTTTATTTAGAAAATCTATTCACAGCCATGCACTTGTACAGTCATCTAGCCCAGACATCTAGTACCTTCTAACAGCCACATCACAACTGAGACAATTAAGCTAAGAAAATAATGAGAAATAATTATAGGCATAAACAACAAACTAATTTTCCAACAAATACAGAAAATTCAAAGAACTTGCCATTGATAAAGAAGCATTTACTGAAAAATTGTAAAAAACAAACAAACAGTTTTTCTTACTCTGAGTTAGACTATGGTGGAAAGCTGCTGAGGTAGATCCCGAGGTGGTTGTCACTCCAGCCGTATCTGTTCCAAAGCTAAGAAGCTCCAATGGAAACTGAAAGGGCATAGTCACTGGAACAAGACTTCCCAGCATCCCAAAAGGAGTCAATGGAGTAGATGTCACATTCTGACTGGTTACAGACAATGGTGATGCCATGAGAGTCAAAGGTGAAGCATTTGCCAGTAATGATGCACCTGTTGTTGACTACATAGATAGATATTTTTAAAATGTTTTAAAGCCCTTTGCAAGCAACCCAAAGCATATCAAATGTATCATTTGCTCTCACATTCATCAGAAACAATATTTTATAGCAATGCTTATTCATTTCTTATTTAATTAATGATATAATTTAAGTCAGGGGTCCCCAACCCCCAGGCTATGGCCCATTACTGGCTATGGAAGCGGCTGGCGATCGCACATATAGCTCCATGTGCAAGCAGTGGGTGCATGGGCCCACCAACCACGCAAACGGAGCTCTGTGTGCATACGCCCTGACATGGAACCATCCTCTCCCCCCGCTGGTCCACAAAGCCAGAAAGGTTGGGGGCTGCTGATTTAAGTGATAGCAAATGTTGGTTGGCTTTTTCCTTGCAATAAATATAACTTACAGTGCAAATGTGAAAACTAAGTTTGGTGAGGTGGCAACTACTGGTTCTCTAGCTAGATAGAAACGTTATATAATCATAGTTCAGCTAGCACTTAAAGCCATCAAATCAGTAGCAAGCATTGCTTAATTTGCTCTGGGACACTGCCTTATAAAATGTTGGCTTCTTTGCTCCACACAGCACAAATCTCTAAAAAGTCTTTATTCTTCTCCATAATAAAGATTATATATTCATTTTCTGTGAGAATTATATACCAGGTAAGGCTTATTGCTGAATAAGGGATTGTTTCTGGAAAGTTACAATTACCACAATTTCATAGTATAAAGTCTAACTCTTTCCTACTCCTATCACTGAAAGTTAGTCTGGTATAGTGATTAAGACACCAGGCTAGAAATTGGGAGACCATAAATTTAGTCATCAGAATACCACACACCATGTCTAACACCATGTCAATCAGATATGTTGTGGCAGAAAGCAGCTGAAAGAAGGCCATTATCACCATGGAGACTATGAAATCCTGAACAGAACTGGAGCCAACTTTCAATGCATTGGAACTGAAATCACCTAGCAATGTAAATCTAGAAAATTCCAGTACCAGCTACCTTGCAGTCACAGTTGCTATGGTACCCAAACGTGGCCTGGCCAATATATCTATCTGTATCCAAAAAAGTTTCTGATCTACCAAAACTGGATGTGAACGTATTGCAATTTGACCTGACATCATCATCATCATCACTATTATTATTATTATTATTGATCATCGCACAGTCAGCCAGATGTTCAGACTGGATTTGGCATTTTGTCTACCTATCGAGTCCTTACCAAGGACCTGGGATAGGCAGATGTGGATGTTTGATGGTATTACAGGTATCGTCGCAGGATGGAAGCAGTTCCTAATAAGGCCGCCTTTTGCAATTGACTAATAGCGAATTTGTCAATGCCAATGGTGTTCAAGTGGTGCTCCAGTTGTTTTGGTATTGCACCCAAGGAGCCTATCACTATTGGTACTACCCTTGCTTGCTTTTGCCACAGTCTTTCTATTTCTATTTGTAGGTCTTTGTATTTTGTTATCTTCTCCAGTTCTTCCTCGTCTATTCTGCTGTCTCCAGGCACTGCCACGTCCACTATCCAGACTTTTTTGTCTTTCTTATCGACAATTGTTAAGTCTGGGGTGTTATGTTGCAGGTGCTTGTCTGTTTGAATTCTGAAGTCCCAGAGCAGATTAATTTTATCATTTTCTATGACTTTCTCTATTTTATGATCCCACCAGTTTTTGCTTACAGGCAAATGATATTTTTTGCAGATCTTCCAATGCACCATTGTTGCTACTTTGTCATGCCGCTGCTTGTAGTCAGTCTGTGCAATCTTCTTGCAACAGCTTACCATGTGGTCCACTGTTTCTTCAGCTTCTTTGCATAGGCGGCACTTACTGTCTGTTGCTGTCTTCTCAATTTTGACTTTGTATGCATTTGTCCTTAAGGCTTGGTCTTGTGCAGCCGGAATTAGTCCCTCGGTCTCTTTCTTCAATTTTCCTGCTCTTAGCCATTGCCAGGTCTTGTTATTATCTGCTTTCCCAGCTATTTTTTTAATGTATTGGCCATGTAGTGCTTTGTCTTCCCATGCCTCTATTCTGTTCTTGATTTGGTCTTTCTTGTTATTATTATTATTATTATTATTGATCATTTCACAGTCAACCAGATGTTCAGACTGGATTTGGCATTTTGTCTACCTATCGAGTTATTATTATTATTATTATTATTATTATTATTATTATTATTATTATTATTATTATTATTACTATTATTATTATTGGCTCTGAATGCAGATATGGGATAACCCAAAGAAATGCAACAAGGATGTAGCTTGGTTAAAAGAGGTAGATGCAAATAAAACAGAAGTTGAAATGAATGAACTAGTAATTACAGCAGAAATGGTAGAGAAAAGAGCAAGGAAAATCAAGAATTGGTCAGCACCAGGTGAAGATGAACTGCATGGGTTTTGGTTGAAACATCTAATTGTTATATACCCACTCATTGCCAAGCAGTTCAACAACATACTAAAAGGAGGAGAAATTGAAAAGTGGCTAACAACTGGGAAAACCTACCTGATAATGAAAGATCCAGCAAAAGGGGTAGCACCAGGCAACTACAGGCCAATTATCTGCTTACCAACAACTTTCAAATTGCTAACTGGTGTGGTAGCTGATGCAATCCAACAGCATCTAGTTGAAAGTAATCTGAGCAGAAAGGAAACCACCCCAATAGCAGAGGAACAAAAGAGCAACTCCTAATAGACAAAATGATTTTGGAAAACTGCAAGAGAAGGAAGACCAACTTGAATGTGGCATGGATTGATTACAAAAAGGCATTCAACTCTCTGCCACATGAGTGGATAATCAAGTGCCTAGAAATAACAGGAGTCAGTAGAAACATCAGAAAATTTGTGCAAAGATCGATGGCACAATGGAAGACACAAAGTTGCAGGTCAATGGTGAGAAACTGGAAGAGGTTAATATCAAGAGAGGTATATTAGAGATTCATTATCACCACTACTATTTGTTATTGCACCGTTTCCTCTGTCAACAATACTGAATAACTCAGGCCATGGCTATCAAACATCAAAAATATCTGCCAGACTATCCCACCTCCTTTACATGGATAATCTAAAATTGTATGGAAAAATATCATCTGAAATAGAATCGCTGCTCAACGCTGTCTCTATACACTGTATAGCCAAGATATTGCAATGGAGTTTGGCTTGGACAAATGTGCCACACTTACTATCAAACAAGGAAAAATAGTGAAAACTGAAGGAATCAAGATACCCCACAAAAATAACATTAAGAGTCTGGATGAGGAAGATTACTACAAATACTTGGGTATTCTTCAAGCTGACAACATCAAGCATACTGAAGTCAAGAAAAAGATTAGAGATGAATACATCAAGAGAGTGAAGAAAATCTTAAAGTCCAAACTCAATGGAGGAAATACCATGAAGGCAATCAACACCTGGACAATTCCAGTCATTAGATACACAGCTGCAATAGTGGACTGGACTCAAGCAGAACTAAAAGCAATGGATAGGAAGACCAGAAAAATAATGACAATGAATCATGCCCTTCAACCAGGTAGTGACGTTGACAGATTCTATCTACCAAGACAAATAAGTGGGCATGGAAGGTTGCAAGTACATCAGATGATTGAAGAAGAAAAAATGGCTTTGGAAGAATATCTGAAGGACAATAATGAAGATGCACTGAAGTTAGTATATCAGGAAGGCTTACTGACTACTGGAGAGACCACACTAGCCTAAAAGAAAAACCAAATGAAGAACAGAATGGAGGCATGGGAAGATAAAGCATTACATGGCCAATACGTTAAAAAAATAGCTGGGAAAGCAAATAATAACAAGACCTGGCAATGGCTAAGAGCAGGAAAGTTGAAGAAAGAGACCGAGGGACTAATTCTGGCTGCACAAGACCAAGCCTTAACAACAAATGCATACAAAGTCAAAATTGAGAAGACAGCAACAGACAGTAAGTGCTGTCTATGCAAAGAAGCTGAAGAAACAGTGGACCACCTGGTAAGCTGCTGCAAGAAGAATGCATAGACTGACTACAAGCTGTGGCATGACAAATTAGCAACAATGGTGCATTGGAAGATCTGCAAAAAATATCATTTGCCTGCAGGCAAGAACTGGTGGGATCATAAAATAGAGAAAGTCATAGAAAATGAAGAAGATAAACTGGTCTGGGATTTTAGAATTCAAACAGATATGCATCTGCCACATAATACCCCAGACTTAACAATTGTCAATAAGAAAGACAAAAAAGTTTGGATAGTGGATGTGGCAGTGCCTGGAGACAGCAAAAGAGAAGAGAAAGAACTGGAGAAGATAACAAAATACAAAGACCTACAAATAGAATTAGAACGACTGTGGCAAAGACAAGCAAGAGTAGTATCAATAGTAATAGGTGCCTTGGGTGCAATCCCAAAACAACTAGAGCACCACTTTGACACCATTGGCATTGACAAATTTGCCATTAGTCAATTGCAAAAAGCAGCCTTACTAGGAATTGCTTCCATCCTGCTATGATATCTGTAATACCATCAAACATTCACATCTGCATATCCCAGGTCCTTGGTAAGGACTCGATAGGTAGATAAAAATGCCAAATCCAGTCTGAACATCTGGCTGACTGTGTGATGATCAATAATTACAACAATAACAACATCACTAAAATGTTAACATTATAGAAAGCACAAAACTAAAACAAAATTTAAAAAACCCGTTAATTACACAGGAGCCATCTCAGTATTTTTCCAGTCTCCTGAGGCCCCCAGGCCTGCTGACCCAATCTGGTCTTGAAGGATCTCCAGAAAGTTAAAAGTGATAAGGCCGCTTTGATGTAGCAGTTCTTCCACAACAGCAGCCACCACACCACCTAGTAGCTTAATCTTCCCCTTTGCTTAGCTGATGAGTAATTCTAACTTTTTCTATCAGGAAAAATAGCTCTTTACATGAAGTCCGGTAACTAATTCTTGAACTCAGCAGCAATTTACATCATTTCCTAACCCTTGGTAGGTCTGAAGAAAGCAT